AACAGGATCCAGCGATTACAATTGTCAGTCATTTTTTTCCCCACAATCTTTTTTTAAATACAACTGGGAAAAAAATAATGGTTTCATGAGAAAAAGGAAGGAAACAGTACTTCCCAGATATACAATATCAAAAGCTCATAAGAAAATTAAATAAACATCTCCTATGTATTACTGTATACGTGCATTGGATTGCATCCTAGGCTTTCTTGAGGGACAGACAAAGAACACAGAGCTCTGTTTATCACAGAGTCTCTCTTCACACAAGACCCTGTTTATACACTGTATGATATGTAATGTTGCATCACTTAGATTAACACATGAAATCTGAGTGGATTGCGTTATTCACCTGCTAGGAGGGAGCAAAGGAGATAGAAATAGTGTCATTTTAAGGATGAGAAATTCAACATGCACATAAGTGATATACTGTGCTATATATTTCTAATCTGCCCATAACTGTGGTATTCAGGCACCAGATCTGAAATATCAGTCTGACGTGTTTTATTCTAAACAGGTACATGTTTTATATTTTCCTATAGCTAAGCAATGGGCCATATCGTCTGTGTCATGTCACTGCTTTACATGCCACTACTGGTGTAATCCCACCATAAATGCACCCTAATCAAATGGTGGATCACCCCAACGTAACAACCCATAACTTAAGCATCTGTACTTCCTAAAATTACTCAAATGCACTAGTTCTCTTTGAGGACAAAGGAATAAACCACATTTGGGGTTATTAGATCAAGATATTTTTTAGATAAGATCTTCCATAGGGAGGGAAAAATACTATTAGAAAACTGGTAAAGGATAAAACACCTCTACTTCTTCAGACACATATTTCTCAGGCATGCCTTGTCTGACACTCAGTCTCAAACCTTCCAAAAGAGTTCTTCTCTGGTAAAAGATCATACATCAGAAAATGCCTAGTGGAAAAGTTTTGTGTTTATGTCATTACAGGGGCAATCAAAATTAGATGCATAATGGAAAGACAGTTACAGACATAATTTTTCAAACTGGAGTGTCTGAAGTTAGTCACCCACATCCCTATTAGAGCCAAGATTTTCCAAAGTGACTGCTGATTTGACGTGCCCAACCTGGGGCACCTTAAAGGCAACTGATTTTCCAAGAATAAGGGGTCAGCACTTCCTGAAAATCAGACGCTGTTAAAGCGTCTCAAATTGAACATCCAAAAGTGGAGGCACCCAAAATTACTAGTCATATTTGGACTTCTTGGCGTAGTTGTCTAAATATGGATGCAGGTGCATAACTTTAGACATTCAGTACAAAAATTTTGGCCTAGACATCCCTTGACTATGGAGTCTCCCCTTACTAACTGGATGCTTAATATGCCGAGAGAGAATGTTCATCTCCCATGTTAAAAGCAGTTTCAAATATGAAAAGAAAAGCTTCAAAAATGGTTTTCTGTCAAGTTTAATAAAATCAGGCCTGGTATTGATGCAGACAAGATTTATTTTATTGGTTCGTAAGATGATTTCTGAAATAAATATCCCTATTAAAATCTTGTTGGCATGATCTAGACAGTATTTGGTCCTGCCATGAGGGCAGGGGACTGGATTCGATGACCTCTCGAGGTCCCTTCCAGTCCTAGAATCTATGAATCTATGAATAAGTGACATTTTGGCAAAACACCATGGAAACATTTGGTCATATCCTCTCAACCCCTAATTTCTTCCTTACATGTTCTTTTTAATATATCACAGTTGTTAAATTTGTAACATGTAATTCCCTTGAGACTAAACAACAGTGCTTGGTATGTGAAAAATGAACAATACATTTACATCAGTAAACCAAGAGGAAATTTTAAATAAACATGTAATTGAGTACAAATAATCTGAACATTATTTTTATGAAACTTGACCATTCTGTAGGCCAGCACTAACAGCAGGATGTCCTAAATAAACTTAGCAAAAGCATATGTTGTCGTCCTCTTCTTCAGTTATGACATAACTGATCAGATTCAATTCTTCTGATGCCTTATTGCAGTTAGTCAAACATTACTATATTGGAAGGCTGTTAAACTTTTTCTTAAATTAGTCACCATTTCATTACAAAAGCAAACATGACCACCAAAACCCCAGAAAGAATGTCTTGATTTATTTTGGCATTATGGGTCAACTTAAATTAGTATACAAAGAGGGCTGTACAAATTGTTGCTACATCTAGCATGGATTTTGACTTTGAAAACATATGGCCAGCACCAATGCAAAAATAAAGCTGAGGGTAGGTCTGGGATGGGTTGCACGAGGTCATAAATTTGGTATTTTCCGTGATGGCTGCCCTCTTGTGCTCTAAAATCTAAGAGAGTTTCTTTCTTTCTTCCTTAAAGTTGTCCTAACCCTGGTTGCATTGGAACTAACACTGAATTATAAACTTCATAGCAGGGAATTTGTTGTGTTTGTATTTGTCGAGTGAAGCATCTAGGACATTTCTGACGCCTGCATAAACACTAAAACTACTACTAACTTTCCCCTCTTTCATAGCCAAGATAAACAGTTTTCCTTTATGGCCGTCAATCATGTTGAGTATTACATTTACTACACATGTAATGTAGTCCTACCAATTGCAAATGAGACTACTCACGTAATAAGGTAGTCTTGAATGTAAATAAAGGTGGTAGTGAGGCACTTCAGGAAAGGAAGCCACCCATTTGCTTTTGCTCTTTTCAGTTTCTTTATATATATATAATTTTGGATCCTATTTTCTGAGGGGGACAAGTCCACATTGTGCTATTGAGCATGTAATCCTAGCACATTCTTTGATTGCCCAGAATTCCCCTTGGCGTCAATGGGAGCCAGAAAGGTAGCATGGCCTAGTGGGTAGAGCACTGGATTGGAAGACGGGTTCTAGTCCCTGTTCTGCCTCTAACCTCTTGGGTGACTGTGACCTTCGTTAAATTGGTTCACCTTTCTATCTCTTTTATTCCCCTCCAACCCTTTGTCTCTCTTGTCTATTTAGACTGTAAGCTCTTAGTGACTAGGACCATTTTACTATGATTGTACGCAATGCCCAGTACAATCGGTCCTCCATCTCCATTGGAGCCTCTATGCGCTACCATAACACAAATAAATAACAATGGGATATTCCCCTTTGACTTCAGTGGAGGTTTGGGGTGTGCAAAGAATGCAGGATCAGCAGTTTGTCATCTATAATTACTTCTCTGCACACACTTTTTCTTTTAAAGCCCCTTTTTTCTTAAACTAATCCATTTGGGTTGTAAACCTTCTCTAAAACCCACATCCTGGAGGCTTTTATATATATTACACAAAAGACTATGTTAAAAGCACACTGTTAAGGCTGCAAAGTCAAGCAGTCAAACGTTGGGAAATGCCAGATTTAACATTGCCTGCCGAGACAGGGATGGAATCCAAATCCCAAGGCAGCATTTAATTGCCTTAATCATGAGACAGTCCTCTCTCTTCCTGCAGTCCCCTGCCTCATTCATTACACACCTTCCAACTTCTGCAACAAATGAGTCGGGGTCCTACAGCCAACAGCCTCCTTCATTACACAGCCCTCATTCATCTGCAGAGCAGGTCCATTCTGTGCACTGATTGAGGGATGGATCCTGTGGAAAAAATAGTATGTGATCCTGTAATTAATGAATGGATCATAATGCATCCACAAAAGAAGCAGAATTAAGGTTGCACAGGCAACCTGAATTCTGGCATTTTCGAATTTTTAAGTGCTTGGCTTTGCAACCTTAATAACATTCTTTCAACATAGTTTTTTTATCTGTAATTTCCTAGTTTTTTAAAAGAGCAAACAGAAAAAAAAAAACAGAAATTCCATCATGTGGCATCACATTGATACCTACATGAACCCTTTAGATTCACCACACAAACTGGTCATTTGAGTTACCAGCAGGGCCGGCTCCAGGGTTTTGGCCGCCCCAAGCAGCCAAAAAAAAAAAAGCCGCGATTGCGATTGCGATCTGCGGCGGCATTTCGCCGGGAGGTCCATCGCTCCGAGCTGGAGTGAGGGACCATCTGCCGAATTGCCGCCGAATAGCTGGACATGCCGCCCCTCTCCGGAGTGGCCGCCCCAAGCACCTGCTTGACAAGCTGGTGCCTGGAGCCGGCCCTGGTTACCAGAATAAATGATAGCAATAATAGGTTGCAATCCTCTATGTGGACTGCAAAAACAACGAGGAGTCCTTGTGGCACCTTAGAGACTCCTTGTTATTTTTGCTGATACAGACTAACATGGCTACCACTCTGAAACCTGTCTCTATGTGGACTGGCACTAGAGGGGGATGAGACACACACTTCACCAGAGGGCTTCACAGATATTTGCTGACAGCAGAGGCATGGTGAGACTCAGGAATCTTGGATTCTATTCTAGATTCTCATAAAATCTCAGCCTCCCCTCCTATCTGACCTCCCTCCACAGCTTCTTGTCCCAGTCTCCCCCTCCCTGGCTCCTTCTCCCGATCTCTTTGCCCAGCCAATCCCCGTTCTCCCCCTTGCACTCCAGATTCTTGTCAGATCTGTCTCCCCTCCTCTCCCACAAGGTTCTCCCATCACCAAGCCAACTGGCTCCCAGTCATCTCCCCACAATTTTCCTCACCAGCTCTCCCCTAATTCCCAATCACAGTTTCTCTCCTCCCACCACTCCAGTCACAGTCTCACCTGACTCCTTGCTTAGAAAGAGATTTTAGCTGCTAAAACCTAAGTCTCTAATGAGCATGTACAAAGTGAGATTCTTCAAAGGCGTATAAATTGCCCATATTTGGATAGATTTTCACAGGAATGGCAAAAGGCAAATTCCTGAGACAAAGCCACTCCCCTGCCAAATTTTCCAAGTCTCTGTTTCAAAGCACATATGTAATGCTGAGGAAATGATAACATGCACTTTGAATGGAAAGCCTTTTGTAAAACCAGTCTTCTGAATGAAATTCTTGCGGTCAGTTATCAAGAATATACCTTTGGTTTCTTGGCAGATATTTTTTAAAGGCATTTGATCAATTAATTACACGTCACCTGCTGAACATCTGGGAGAGTACCAAAAATAGCCGACTAGTCTTCTCTCAGACATATGTTGGACGGGAGCATCACCTGACACCTAAAAGAAGGGAGAACATGCAATCATTCAACCATCAAAAGCTCATAGCTCTAATTAGCATGGTCTAAATGTTAGCTACAGTCTTTCCAGATTAAACCAGAAACGTTTTTTGGGGGGGCTGCTCATTAGGATGGAAACAGGAAGAAAACTCATAAGGTTTGCAGATTCCTCGTCTGCAGACTGTGTGGGGTACATGTGCTTCTTTGCTCTTCATTTCCATATGGGCAATAAAAGGGAGTTGACAGTATAAATTAGATACACCATGTATGCTTTAAGTATAGAATTGTCTTCTGTGACTCGGGGAAACTACAGTGTTCTGGACATAGAGCATCACTAGTGACTGGTAGGCTTAGTTCTTCCTGATTTCCCATAGGCAAGAATACACTACCCTTCTTCCTGTTTCATCTGTGCACATGGCCCCCTGGCTGATCATATCTTAGCAAACTCTGTCACAAGAAATGCAGCTGCAATATCCAAACACAGTATCTACTCAGACTGTGTGTCCCAGGGTGGCTGGCCCCTTTAAATGAAGCAGGCCTAGTGCCTCGGGCTAGAATGGTTGCTCCCAGTTTGGCCAATTAAGAGGGTGGGGCAGTGGGGCAGCACCTGGGGCTATGAAGAGCCAGGCTGTCGGTGAGGAAGAGGGGGAGCAAGAGCAACAGGCAATCCCCGGGGGGTGCGGGGAGGCACTGGGAACCTGCTGGGGGAAAAGGGTCTCCAGGGAGAAAGCTCGGGGGGTGCTCAGTGAAAAGAGGACGAGAAGGATCCTGTAATAGCCCCTGAAGCAGGAGGGACTTAAAGAGGCAAAGGGGGAAATCCCCCTGGAGCTGGAGCCCGGATGGCTGGCAGAACTGTTTTTTGCGTTTTGCCTATGTTTGGGAAATACAACTGTCCCTGGAACGAGAATGTGGGTGTGGCAGTGGGTCCCCTGTGCGCTGGGGACAAGCCAGCGCCTTATTTACACTGCGGTCTTGCATGAATGAGAGCCAGGTAATGCTATTGGGTTTGGTGGAAAAGACATTTTCATGTTTCAAATAACTATAGTCATAATTAGAAATGGCAATATTTGTTTTTTCCCCCCCAAAAAAATCTGAAACAAGAATGAGAGCCATCAGAAAACGCCAAAGCAGCAAACAGGAGTAATCGATTGTAGACAAATCTGCAAAATGTGATCCTTTGATCATTAAAATGACAATTGCTTAATTTGCAGAACAAAGAAAACAGAGTTATATAAAGGGGATTCTTTAAGTAAAGGAATGTTTGATCAGATTCATAGTTAAGGATGTGCACCTTTTTAAATGGAAAATCCTTCAGTGCTGGTATGACTCTCTGAAGCCTGATCGTCACATTACCCATATCAAACTGTCATTTGGATGCTCACCCACTGAAAATTCATTTAATGCACGTCCTTTAATTTACAAACACATGGAAATGAAAAAAAATCCAGTGTGGCATCTAGTCATTTTGGATGAGGGGGGAGAGATAGCTCAGTGGTTTGAGCACTAGCCTGCTAAACACAGCACTGTGAGTTCAATCCTTGAGGGGGCCATTTAGGGAGCTGGGGCAAAAATCTGTCTGGGGATTGGTCCTGATTTGAGCAGGGGGTTGGACTAGATGCCTCCTGAGGTCCCTTCCAACCCTGATATTCTATGATAGTAACTTGGACATATCATGTGGCTCAGCAATCCCTTTCCAGCCCACATGGGTGGAGTTAAGCAGACATGGAATTCTGGCACCCTTTCAAGAGCATTAGGACCTGCACAACTTCCCATGCCAAGATTTTAATTGTTTCCTACAAGTGTGACACCACAAAACAGGCCACCGAGATGGTTTGAGTTCTCACTTGTATCCAAATTCATCTCTGTCTTCTTCTCAACATAGAGGCAGATGTACTCATTGTCACATGCCAGAGACTCACTAGGGACCAAGAGAACTTTAGCACAATATTTTAATCAATGAAAAAATCCATTTTATTGTTATTGCCACATAGATAAAGTTCCTTAATTAGATAAAGTTAATTAATTAGAGGCGGTCAAAAAAGCAAACAGGATGTTAGGGATCGTTAAAAAGGGGATAGAGAATAAGACTGAGAATATCTTATTGCCCTTATATAAATCGATGGTACGCCCACATCTCGAATACTGAGTACAGATGTGGTCTCCTCATCTCAAAAAAGATATCCTGGCACTAGAAAAGGTTCAGAAAAGGGCAACTAAAATGATTAGGGGTTTGGAACGGGTCCCATATGAGGAGAGATTAAAGAGGCTAGGACTTTTCAGCTTGGAAAAGAGGAGACTAAGGGGGGATATGATAGAGGTATATAAAATCATGAGTGATGTGGAGAAAGTGGATAAGGAAAAGTTATTTACTTATTCCCATAATACAAGAACTAGGGGTCAAAAAATGAAATTAATAGGCAGCAGGTTTAAAACAAATACAAGGAAGTTCTTCTTCACGCAGCACACGGTCAACTTGTGGAACTCCTTGCCTGAGGAGGTTGTGAAGGCTAGGACTATAACAACGTTTAAAAGAGAACTGGATAAATTCATGGTGGTTAAGTCCACTAATGGCTCTTAGCCAGGATGGGTAAGGAATGGTGTCCCTAGCCTCTGTTTGTCAGAGGATGGAGATGGATGGCAGGAGAGAGATCACTTGATCATTGCCTGTTAGGTCCACTCCCTCTGGGGCACCTGGCATTGGCCACTATCGATAGACAGAATACTGGGCTAGATGGACCTTTGGTCTGACCCAGTACAGACATTCTTATGTTCTTATGTTCCTTGGATTCACAGAGCATTAATTCTTTAAAAAAAAGTAAACAATCAGTAAATGAGTAAAACAGAACCCGACTCCTTTCCTCATGTTGGTTTGAATGGGTGAGCTGGCAATACCAGTTCTGCCAACTCTATCCATTTTATCACTTGTCTCACAATATTTGATGTTTTCCTTTGTGACACACCAGGGCATAATCCAGGCTAATGAGTAAATATGTCACCCCTGCACTCTAACCTGAGGTGCCCTTCACAATGCTTTGCTGCAGTAGCCTCCAGCCTGGACTGCTCACCAAGAGCCTCCAGCATACAAGTCACTCCCGGCTATGTCTGCATGTGTGCTGCAGCCAGCCAGTCACAGCGTAGGTCCTACCAGCCTTGGTTATACTACAGCAGATCCCCAACACACTCCAAGTCTTAGATATTCCCCCAGAAGTGTATGTCCTTTACTGCCCAGCCCTCTCCTGGACAATACAAGCTGATATAAAGTCCGTTATTTCTTTAATAGAAATAATATGCACACAACTTGCGACCCCAAATGGCATTTCCCACACACTTCCATTTAAATACACCGGAGTAGATAAAACAATAAAACAAGTTCATTAGCTACAAAGAGATAGATTTTAAGGGAGTACAAGTAACAAGGCATAAAAATCATAAAAGAAATGATTACAAGAAAAATAAAGATAAAATGCAACTGGTGTCTAACTTAACAAACTACATTAAATTCCAAGTAAAGTTTTCTCAGCATATGCTTTCAGCAGTCTTACTGATCAAACTTCTTAAGGCAGGATCCCTTCGCCTAGAGTTCAACAAATGCTTCCTTTGTTGCTTCTGGGGTCTTGAATACAATGGGCGGGAGGGGGGAAGGGATGCCTTGGGGCTCTTGTCCCTCCTTTTTATAGTTTCAGTTCCCCCCTGAAAAACATTTCCAATTAGAACCAGAAGACAAAAGGTCTATGGGGAAGGATGTTCCCTGCTGCTTTTTCCTCACCTGTTTGAGTGTCCTTTGTTTCCCCTTCCTGATTGATGACTCTGTTTACGGCTTAAATGCAAATTAAGCAGAGCACACATTATTTTGTTTGAGACAGACCTGTTTGCCAACCTCAGTTTGGAACTTGTGTTAATAACAATATACAGTGAAATCTTATAATTTGACATACAATGTTGCCACAGATATTTTATCGGGATAATAATGATCAGCAAATTATGAATTTTGAAGTGATACCTCACAAGGCATACTTTGTGCAAAGATTATTACAATAGTGTGTAGGATGTGGACACAGGGGTACATTCTGTCACATCTTTACAACCCCAACTCCTGGCATCACGTGATTTACATGAGAATCTCAGTTTTCCTGGAAAAAAAAATAGTTCTCCACAACTATGAGAGTTTGAAAAAGTTTGAAAACATGAACCTTAAAGGCTGAAAAATCAGCAGGCAATTTTTTAACGGTGAGGGTAATTAACCATTGAACCAACTATCTTACGGATATAGTGCATTTTCTGAATTTGAGTTCTCTAAATCAAGATTGGATGGCTCCTTCTTAAAGATAAACTCTAGCTGAACCACACATTATTAGACTTGACACAGGAATCATGTGGTGAAATCATGTTATACAGGAGGTCAGATTAGGAGACTAATAGGTCCTTCTGGTCTTAAATTCTATAAATCTATGAAAGAAAAAGAACCCAAAATGTATTATTATTAAACCTCATGGCTTTTAGGACAAACTCATGATTTTTGTAGGTTTGGAAATGGAAATACTTCTCTTTTTCGTGGGCTTCTGCTTCTCAGGCCTCGCGCCTTTTGTCTTCCAGCTCCAGGGCTCTCTGGCATGCTGCTATTTCTGCTGCCAGTTTCTGCTTCACTGCTTCCAGCTTTTGCTTCTCAGCTTCTATTCCGAGCCTTTTGGTCTGCTCTGCTATCTCCATCCTTTGAACCTCCACCTGAGACAGTTTGAATTTCAGAGGCTGCCTCACTCAGAACTATTGTGTTCATCTTCCAAGCTCAGTCCCTTTGGTGGATCTCTTTGCCATCTATCCTGCTTACTCATCTTATACTTGCCTTTGTTTTATTTCCTTCATCCACAATAAATCACTGGAAAATAACGAACTATCCTTTTTTTTGGTCTGTTCCCAACCTTCTCACTGGTGAATCTCTCAGAAACTAGTGTATAAGTACTTGGAGTGCGATCCTTAGCTAGTCAGGAAACTGGGTATAAATCC